CTCTGAGCACCACAGTCTCAGGTCATCACAGCGTCTGAGTATTACAGCCTCTGGTCATCACAGCCTCTGAGCACCTCAGCCTCCCGAGCACCACATCCTCTGATATCTTCTTATTAGTTCAACTACCAACTTCTTTTTTTCTTCTTCTTCTTTTTTTCTTAACATTATTGAACTTTTGAAAAAACAAGAAGGATTTATCACATTATAACGACAAACTACATTTCTTTATCAAAATGAGGTAGATACTTGTACTAAAAATCCTGTACTTTCTTGGCCTCGACGGTTAGAAAGAGAAAAACAAAATAGAGAAAAACTAGCTCAAAAGTCTTCTTGGACAAAACAAATCTGTCTTTTAGAGCAGAGACTCCCCAATGCTGGTAAGCAGACCGGTACCGGTCCGCTAGCCTTACGGTCCCTGTCCCCACGGCACGACATAAATATTTATGTTTCGATACAAAAAGAAAAAAAAAATTTAATAAATCTGGCAACGGTAACCTGGTGCAATTTTAAAACGTGTCTGTCTGTCTGCCGCACTTGAAGGCTTTAGAGAAGCTTAAAGACATCGTGATTTAAACAATATTACTTTTTTTTTTAAATACCTTGATAAAAGCACAGACGATTGATGTAAAAGTACAGATGATTGAGGTAAAAGTACGGATGATGGATTGGTATTTAAATCTTCTCAATTTGAAAGCTTGAGCGCCTACAGGATTTTTTTTTTTTTTTTTGGTACTGCCAGTCACAGCCGTAAGACTTAGATGGGTAATATTTTTTATTTCTTTTTAAAACTAAAGGTCCCACATACTTACATGACCATAATAACGTCTGACACTTTCAGAAGTCCTATTTAAATATTAACTTTAGTTTTACCCGTGTTATTTGAGGCGTATGGTTTGCTAGGATTCTTATTTCAATACTAGTTAGTAAATAGAAATAAATAAATGAAGGGACTGCTTTCAAGCTATGTAAATGAATGAAATAGTGAAACGAGGTATGTCGAAGCTTGAAATAAGGTAACAGGACAAAAAACAAGGACGTTTCGGCATAAAGCCTTCCTCAGCCAACAATAGAAATGAAAATATAACAAAGAAAAGAACACAGTAGAAAACTCAAGCAGTATTCATTCGTCTCTCCGGAAGTGGGAAAACAGGAAGCGAGAGAAAATAAATATTGACACCGTGAAAAATAAAGTCCACAATAATAATGGACCAGAATATCAAGGGATACATCAACAAACAGCAATAAGAAAATAGATGAAATATAGGGAAACGGAGAAACATCAGTAGGATATTATTTGATTAATACCATATGGAGATATGGTGCCAAACAGCTGAATAAATTTATTTTCCATTTTAACCCTATCTGGTGTGTTACTGCATGAAATCAATACCGTAATGGTTACATCCAATGCACCTTTATAGTAAATAGAATTGTCATGTGGGACTGCGGGAAGGGGGGGGGGAGAGGGGTGTGATATTTGGGTCTTATGACCCCTTTGACCTATGCTGTGGTGATGTGGATAAAATAATACATTTTAATGTCCCGTTAGGCACTTTGAATTATTTTAAGATGGCGCAGGCCAAATCTCTTCATCTGTCACTCCCAACCAAAAGAATGTTGGCCATCCTACTTGGACCTCTGTCACTCCCTCCCCCCCCCCTCTAATAGACTGTTGGCCATCATACTCGTATCTTAGTTAACTTACCTTGTTATCATAAACGGCTGTGCACATTGCCCATAGGTCTGTATTCTCAGAGTGAACATTATTTCTGTGTTGTCTTAGTTGAAGTCTGAGTTGAAGGTTTAGTTGAAGTTTTAGCTGAAAGCTTAGTTGAATGCTTCGTTGAAGGCTTAGTGCAGGCCTGGACAACATACAGCCCACGGGCCGCATTCGGCCCGCCAGCACCCACTTTGCGGCCCGCGAAGTTACGAAATATTTTTTTTATTATTATTTTTTTTTTTTAAACCTTCCCCACCATGTCCTATTTTCTTTCGGCCCGCACAAATTTTTCATCAAGTATTACGGCCGGCTTACATTCTGAGTTGTGCAGGCCTGGCTTAGAAGTCTCTTCATATTACAAACTCACAGGTCTTCATCTCTTCAACAGGGGATCTCAGGCAGTGGAGTTACGCGAGATCAGCCCGTACGCACCCGTTAAGACACCCTGTCTCACATGGAACGATGACGTTGACAGCGATTGTACTTTTTCACCAGATGAAAGGGACTTAACTATTTTAAGTAGGTTAAAATGGCCCTTGGCTAACAAATCGCACAAAAGTGTTTATGTTTTATTATCTGTCGTTCGTTCGCTGAGGAAGACTTCTTGCCGACACGTTCGTTATTTTGTTGCGTCCCTTTGTTTCAGATTGTCCCATATTTTTTCACTTTATTTCTACATACATGATTGCAGTCTCTCACCGCCCCCCCCCCCTTTTTAAAAAAAAACATATGTTAGGCTTTCCCCGTGTTATATTTTATTGTATGTCACGGGGTTAACGCTAAACTTATTTAGTTATTGACTCACATTTGTTACATATTCCACTGTATGTCATGGAGTTAAAGATACGTTTATGTACTCAGATATCTTACATATTCTAGTGTATGTCACTTGGTTAACGCCAAATTTATGTACTCATATTTTTCATCATACGTTTCACCGTAAAGTTACTAAATATTCAATATGCCCAAGAACGCGGACCTACATTCTGTTAATTAGTTTACAGTAAGGCATTGCCAATGGCAAATATGATGATGACTTAAGGAGACTATCATGAGAAGGAACAGTATTCAAAGACCCACCATTTTTATCCCATGATGTATCATAATAGGTGTAGTTAGTGGTCAGGTTCCATGACGAATGATGGCAGGTCTATTTAGCGGTTAGATTTCATGATGTATGAGGGTAGGTCTAGTTAGTGGTCGATTACATGACCTATGATGGCAGGTCTATTTAGCGGTTAGATTTCATGATGTATGATGGTAGGTCTAGTTAGTGGTTAGATTTCATGATGTATGAGGGTAGGTCTAGTTAGTGGTCGATTCCATGACCTATGATGGCAGGTCTATTTAGCGGTTAGATTCCATGATGTATGATTTAGGTCTAGTTAGTGGTCAGGTTCAGTGATGTATTATTGGTAGGTCTAGTTCATGATAAGATTCAATGATGTATTATTGGTAGGTCTAGTTCGTAATAAGATTCCATGATGTTTGATGGCACGTCAATTTAGCGATCAGATTTCATGATGTATGAGGATAGGTCTAGTTAGTCGTCAGGTTCAGTGATGTATTATTGGTAGGTCTAGTTCGTGATAAGATTCCATGATGTATGATGGCAGGTCTAGTTAGCGGTTAGATTCCATGATGTATGCTAGGTCTCTTTAGTGGTTGAATTGAAGAATGCATGCAGCACCAAGCTATTTAATCATCTGTAACTCAATTTGCTACTATCTTGGCAGATTGCTACAGAACTGGGAATCGGTCCACGACCTAATTAGAAATGTATCACGATCAGGTGGTCATTGTGTCATCCAGTCATGAGAATATCTTTTGAGATCTTTTGAATTTGATATGGTAGACAATGGTAAACGATGGTTAACTTCCCATTAAATCATCTTTTCTATTTTGTTCCACCTTTGTCAAGAAAACTAATTGGCCCCTTCTAAGCTTAAATAATAATGAAAGCTTATGTAAAATAAAATTTTAATTTTGTTCATATTGGTTAAAACCCGATTTTGGCCAAAATGGAAATGAGATTCATAAAGTACAAGTTGAAGAGTAGGCACCGAGTAGAGGAGTGAGTTTTGATGAGTATGGCCTAGGAGTATGGCGTCGAAGTTAAGGAAGAGTGGTTTTGATGTTAGGAAGAGAGGAGTATGGGATGGGTTTGCTAGTAATAAGTGACTTTGTTGATGGTAAGGGGTAACTTTGTTGATGGTAAGGGGTAACTTTGTTGATGGTAAGGAGTGACTTTGTTGATGGTAAGGAGTGACTTTGTTGATGGTAAGGAGTGACTTTGTTGATGGTAAGGAGTGACTTTGTTGATGGTAAGGAGTGACTTTGTTGATGGTAAGGGGTGACTTTGTTGATGGTAAGGGGTGACTTTGTTGATGGTAAGGGGTGACTTTGTTGATGGTAAGGGGTGACTTTGTTGATGGTAAGGGGGGACTTTGTTGATGGTAAGGGGTGACTTTGTTGATGGTAAGGGGTGACTTTGTTGATTGGAAAGGAGTGACTTTGTTGATGGTAAGGAGTGACTTTGTTGATGAAGCTCGAAAAGAAGTATGGAGGTTAGAAGATATAGACAAAATAATCTAGGAACCATCATGTAGGAACCATCATGTAGGACCCATAATATAGGAACAATCCTATAGGAACCATCATATACGAACCATCAGATATGAACAATCATATGGGAACCATTATATAGGAACCATCTACGGGAACCATCAAATAGGAACCATCATATAAGAACTATCATATAGGAACAGTCAGATGGGAACCATTTTATAGGAACCATCATATGGGAATTATCATATAATAACTATCATATAGGAACCATCATATAGGAACCATCATATAAGAACCATCATATAGGAACAATCATGTATGAACCATCATATAAGAACCATCATATAGGAACCATCATATAGGAACCATTATGTTTTAATTGTGTAAATGGTAAAGAGAAATGGGTTAATTGTAAAAGGTTAATTTTAAATGGTAACTGGTAAAGGTAAAGGGTAAATTGTAACAGTAATCAAAAGGTACAATACTAAAATGGGTTACAACAAGTTTTAAAAAATAAAAACCTAAACAATGAGACATGTCTTTGAAATAACATGAACACTGAACAACATGTTGTAATCATCGTCTTTATTAGTTTGTCATTAATTTCAACATTTAAAGTAGAATGACACAAACAAAAATGGAAATACGGTGTTCTCTAGTTTTAGATTTATTAAACGTAAGCTTTAAAATTAAAAGTAAATAACTTTCATAATTTTTTGTTGTGGTTTTTAAAATAATTAAATAGTATATGTCGTAGAGATAATCGGGATTTTTTATATATAGTATTTATTTCGGACCTAGCCTTTAAAATTGTAAAATATTGGAGAGTTTCCAAGTCTAAAGATTATGTTGTTCTCGCTGAACAATGATTGGTCAATGAACTAAACTGTGAATGTTTGCACATCATTCAAGAAACGGTGCTAGTTAAACCCAAAATGCCCCCCCCCCCCCTAAATGTGTTTTCTTTCATATACAATAGGGCTTTTCTACCCCTGAATGTTTGCACATCATTCAAGAAACGGTGCTAGTTAAACCCAAAATGCCCCCCCCCCCCTAAATGTGTTTTCTTTCATATACAATAGGGCTTTTCTACCCCTGCACTGAATGTGCTTTGTGTATGTGTTACTGGTCAAGCAAAACTCCATTCATCAAATGGGCTCTGTTAAGTTGGTGCAGGGACTACAGACTTCTGACCACAACGAGAAGCGTCGAAAAATGAAAACGAGAACAATAATCACACACCCCCCACCCCGGGATCAGGTTTGAAACTGCACAAGAGAGGGGGGGGGTATAGATAAGTCTGCCAATGGTTCAATAAGTTATCACAAATGATTGTCGCGGACAATGGGTTTACCGTACTGGGTTATAACACTAACTTCTGGAAACGTACACAAAATTGTGCAAAACTTATCTCATCTGGGATTATTTAACTGAACGACCACAAAAAAAAAAGAGGGGTGGGGTTGATGGGGGGAGTCAGGGCGACGTTTCCTCTTTCAACACCCTGACCACCAAACTTTACTGAACGTGCTCGACCACCTGGACTTCTAAACTCAACCGACTTGAAGTAATAAATGACCCCTCCTTACTCTGCTGGAAACAAACTGACTTACAAATATCATCTTTATATCTTTCGTTTTCACTCTTTATTTGTTACAGAAATAAAAGTTAGCCACGTGCTCTTTCAGAAAAAAAAAAACAACAACAAATATTCAAAAAAGGAAAGACGATGAAAAAACCATCGTATGAAAAATAAAAGAAAGTCTTAAACATTGTTTTCTTCTCCACATTTCCGGATTTTTGTCAATTCAAAATCACAAATTTAGGACAACAGATTATCATAGGATATCTTGGCGTGCATTTTTTTTAAAAGTATAATCTCTTGTTGTTTAAAATGTGTAACTACATGTCTAATTATATTCTGGTGCTTATGGACAGTAGATCTACATAAAAAATTTTTTTAAAAAAATAATAAAAAAAAACATTTTCTTTTGAAGTTTCAGTCTTGTAATAGAAATGTGTTCCTTATTTCAAACTACCTTTGCAACGTATAAACATTAAAAAATACACCCCGGAGGAAAAAAAATTAAGCTAAAGAAAAAATCAATCGTAATTAATCACATACATAAATTAAAGGGTAAATAGTGACAGCGTAAATCCGAGTCTAAATTCATTTAAAAATCTTTCGTGGTTTTCCTCTGCGTGTTTGACAGTTTGATTCAAACATCTGTTTTTAAATTTCATATAACGGGGGCCCCCTCTGTTGTCACCGAGTAAAGGTTTTACACAATTTTACTTTTTTAAAAACACATTTCTGTTTTCTTTCAAGGCGAGAAACAGCTTAAAATTATATTTTAAACGGGTAAACTGCAATGATTGACGTCGTGTTTCTGTTTCAAATTTATTAAAACCAAACACGACATTATTTTTTTTTATTTTTTAGCTTTTCAATTAAAAATTAAGCTTTGTTTTGTAACTTAATAAACTAAGCAACTATCACAATCGAAACATATATTCTTAACCCAAAATGACATTACCCCTATACAAGCCAGTAAACCTGCTTGCACCACGCGGCTGGGATGGTGGTATCGAGGACTGTGCCAGTGTTAGTTTCTGCAGTGGGGAATATTGTGAGCTAAAACTGCTATAGGCTGGTGAGTATGGGGTAAATGCCAGCTCGGGCAATGTTTCTGATTCGCTGTAGACGGGTTCCTCGAATCGGGACTCTCCGCTCTCATCCCAATCCCTTTTAAGGGTGTCGAAGCCCCTGATGAACCTCTTATCCACCCCACCGCCGCCCTTGCTGTAATACAGACCGAGACCCCTGACGAAGCGTTTGTTGTCGACGGTGTTATCCAAACCGCCCAAGCCTTCAAAGCCTCTGATGAATCTTTTCCCAGGCAGGCTGTATGCATCTAAGCTGCCCAAACCTTCAAAGCCTCTGATAAACCGTTTCCCAGGCAGGCTGTAAGCATCTGAACTGCCCAAACCTTCAAAGCCTCTGATAAATCTTTTCCCAGGCAGGCTGTATGCATCTGAACTGCCCAAACCTTCAAAGCCTCTGATAAACCGTTTCCCGGGCAGCTTGTAAGCATCCAAACCTTTCATGAATCGTTTTTGGGTATCCAACATGTCTTCGGCCACGACCTTGTTCGTTTTCGTAAAACTGACGGAATTCGGGCGCTCGAGGTCGAGGTAGCGCAACCAGCGCTTGCTGCTGGGATGGTCGTAGATTTGAAAGCCTCGCATGAATCGCTTGCTCACGCCACTTCCGTCGTCGTCGACGTCTTCGGTGTCGCCGCCGTTCCAGTTGCGCCTGTCGTAGGCGTCGAAGCCTCGCATGAAACGCTTGTCCGCCGCGACGGGGCGATTGAGCCACAGCTCACTGCCGATTCCCTGGGCGGGGAAGTGTGTTTCAGGGTCTGTATTCGTCCTATCGCCTCCGTCGCCCTCCTCCTCCTCCGCAAGATTCTCTAATATTTCATCGACAGCCGCTTTGTTCGTCGCCGCGTCTCTCCTCACTCGCCGTGCCTCTCGTCTGACCAGCCCCCTCATGAATCTTTTTTCATCCTCCTTCTTCACCAGCCCTCTCACGAACCGCTTGTCCTCCACCGCAGCATCTACCTGGTCGTCCTTCTTAACGAAGCCCCTCATGAATCGTTTCTCTTCAGCCGTCTCGTCAGTCGTGTCGTCTTTCTTCACCAGCCCCCTCATGAATCTTTTGTCGTCTTCCTTCTTCACCAGCCCTCTCATGAATCTTTTGTCGTCTTCCTTCTTCACCAGCCCTCTCATAAATCTTTTGTCGTCTTCCTTCTTCACCAGCCCTCTCATGAATCTTTTGTCGTCTTCCTTTTTCACCAGCCCTCTCATAAACAGCTTGTCGTCCCCTGTCGTGTCTATTACATCGTCTTTTTTTATAAGGCCCCTCATAAATCTTTTGTCATCCACAAAATCGTCGGTTTCATCTTTTTTAATAAGTCCGCGCATGAATCTCTTGTCATCGTGTGAACCGTCGGACTCTTTCTTTACAAATCCTCTCATGAATCGCTTGTCTTTGTCAAAATTATCATAGTCGTGGTCGTCTTTTTTAATTAAACCCCTCATAAATCTTTTATCAACTTCATCATCTTTTTTAATTAAACCCCTCATAAATCTTTTATCAACTTCATCATCTTTTTTAATTAAGCCCCTCATAAATCTTTTATCAACTTCATCATCTTTTTTAATTAAACCCCTCATAAATCTTTTATCAACTTCATCATCTTTTTTAATTAAACCCCTCATAAATCTTTTATCAACTTCGTCATCTTTTTTAATTAAACCCCTCATAAATCTTTTATCAACTTCATCGTCTTTCTTTATTAAACCCCTCATGAACCTCTTATCAACTTCATCGTCTTTCTTGATTAAACCCCTCATGAACCTCTTATCAACTTCATCGTCTTTCTTGATTAAACCCCTCATGAACCTCTTATCAACTTCATCGTCCTTCTTTATTAAACCTCTCATGAACCTCTTGTCTTCCCCGTTTATTTGTTCATCTGTCCTTTCACTGTCTTGTTTCATAGACCCGCCGCCGTCTTTTACAAGACTGTTACCCTCCTCCATTGAACCGACGTGGCTGCTACTATCTTTGGAGAAAAGCTTAAATTCTGTCACGGGTGGATGAGCACGGAGGCTCTGAAGGTCTTCCTCTGTGTTCTTCTTCAGAAACCCCCTCAGGAATCTCTTGTCCGCATCGACGACCTCCGTGTCGTCGCCGTTTCTTTTAACCATACCCCGCATGAATCGTTTTTCGGGGTCGATAAAATCATCTCTCCCGAGGGCTTCCGCCGGAATGAATTTCTTGGAATACAAACTGAGCCCCCTCATGAAACGCTTGCTGATATTCTCGTCATCCGCGAAGTATCCATCCGGAAGTGCAGTCACGCCGTCAAAGTCACCAAGAGCTCGTTTAGAAAATCCGCGCATGAAGCGCTTATCGATGTCTTCGATGTCGTCAAAGTACTTCTTGTTGAACCCGCGTATGAATTTTTTTTCGGCCGGCCCCGCCCACAAGTAGGGCGCGTCGTGCCCGGCGTAGTAGTTTCCGGGGAAACGAGGAACCAGCACTTTTTCCTGGTCGCTTTCGGCGGAGAGGTCATCGAATTCAGTATCGGGCGGGAAAACGTGCGAGAACCTGTCCTCGTCCCTCTTCGCCAAGCTGAGGCCCCTCATGAACTTCTTTTCCTCGGGAATGTCGTCCAGTTCGGCGTCGTAGCTGCGAAATCCTCGAATGAACTTTTTCTCCACGGCCCCAGGCTCGTTGTCGTCGCTCGAAGTGCCTCCGTTCCTGATCCTGTTTACGTAGCGCTTGTCGAGGAACTGGAAGCCGCGCATGAATCTCTTGCTGGCGTGTGAGCCGTCCAGCAAGGCGTCACTGTCGATGGCCGTGCCGTAGTAAGGACCGTACAGGCGTAGACCCCTTATGAAGCGTTTGCTATTTGGTCGCACGTGATCCGGTGCGTTATGGCTGTCCGAACCCAAAGCGAGAGGGTCTGGAGGCGATGCCTGACTGGCAGCTTGTGATTTCGGACTGCCTTGATCATCCGGAGCAAGAAGGTGGTATGGTTCTGATGACGGTCGGCCAGCGTCTTGGGTTTGAGAAGGTCTTTGCGGCGTCAAATATGTATCTGTTTTGGTTTGGGAGTTTGGTAGAGATTGGTTCAAAACTTTCTGTTGGACTGGGGCTGAGATCAGTTCTTCCTTCTGGCTATCTCCGGAGATCTGAAACAGTAAAAAAAAAATTGGAGAAACATGAAACATATGGTAAGAATAGTACGAAACATATGGTAATATAGTATGACAGTTAAGACATATTGACATAATTTGATCAATAAAAAACAGATAGGTGACACATTAAAATGAATTATCTTTATTTGTTTCAGTTAGAAATTAATATATATATATATAAATATATTAGTTTTCATTAAGATTAAAAACGTATGTAACACGGTCGGCACCAAAAGTAAGAGTACTATGAACCATTTCCTTGTTGTCATCTGTAAAAGAAATTTCCCCTGAAAGAGACTAACATACACACTTTTCGCGCGTTGATCCACCAAGGCATTCGTAACTCAAATGGTCATAGTGTTGCACCGCTTCGCTGTAAACATTTTTTATATGGAGAAATTTTATACAGTGAATTCCTAGATTTAAAAAAAAAACGGGGAGGTGTCAATGTTTTAACTAGAGTCTGAGAACATGTTTTTTTATATTTTTCAGCTCTAAGAATCGCTTGGCCGTCTCGCCGCCCCCCCTCCCCCACAAAGGTAGAAATAATGTAAGTAAACATTCTGACACGTGAATGACTATATTTTATAATATCTTCTCCTTGCACCCCATGGTGACTGGCACACCTTTGTGGTGCGCACTTTTGTGCTGCACACGTTTGTGGTGCACACCTTTGTGGTGTTCACTTTTGTGGTGCGCACTTTTGTGCTGCACACTTTTGGCGGTGCGCACTTTTGGCGGTGCGCACTTTGGTGGTGGCGGGCATCCCCATTTCGTGAAACCGTGGTTTTAAAATAAATTGTGAGAGTTCGGAATGAATCTATTAACATAACAGAATGTTTTTAGATAATAATACTTCATTTAAATTGAGGGTGGAGTGGGGGACACATTTTACCTTTTCAGTCAGTGACAGTTTAACTTGTCATTGTCACACGAGTGGGTGGGTCTTAAGGGGGGTTTAATTGGGTTTTAACCTGGCTGCAACTGTACAAGAATCTCCACCAAAACATCCTCACAAGATTCAAAAGTCCTTCAATTCAGGAAGTATCGCAAAATCAAGGCTCAGGTCGAGTGGTGCAAGTTTAAAAAAGAAAAAAAAAACACAAAATAATTTAGAAGTTTGACCTTAGAGCCTCCCTAAGGCATTACTCCCGAGTCTGTGTGACTCGTCCCAGGTCTCGAGCCCAGGAAATGGAATCTAACCGATGCCCACCGTCTGTAAACATGGGTCTAAACGCTTGCTACGGGAGATTTAAAAGTCGTTTTTATTAAAGGAAAGGTTAGGTTCAGGGGATTTAAGGTTGAGCTTCAAATATTAACGGGGAGTCATCGGTGGAGATCTCATTAGATGTGAGAACTGTGTTGTTTTTTGTTTTGTTTTTTTTTTTAGTGGCTGGAGCATGTTTAAAATTTGTATATTGACTCCTACTGAAATGTTTATTTTTCAAGAAAAAAAAAATATATTTTAGGGAATTTTGAGCTGGGTTTAATAAAATGGTGGAATTGAGAGAATAAACTTAGAAATAAACGAAAGAATACCAACTTACATTAAAACTCGGAACAATTATTCCGCTTCCAAAAACTACACGTTGGGAAGAAAAATCGAGAATTCGTTTGAAATTCATATGTTAATATTTTGTAAGAGTAAAACATAAAGCTGGATTTAAAAGAATTTTTATATGACGGGATTAGTTTTAAAGACGAGGAAATTACAAAGATTAACACAAATACATGGATTCAGATTTCTCTCGGATAAGCCTTCAGAAATAAAGATTAATATTAAAAATGTATGTATTATATTGTTTTTACAGTATAATAGTAAAAGTTCGACCTGAGTGGAAGAATGAATAGCCAGATTGGTCAAGCTGTCGGTGTTTCTTACAGGGAGGTCAGGTCTGTGCAGGTCAGGCTGGTCAAACTCTCAGTGTTTCTTACAGGAGTCAGGTCTGTGAAGACAGACTGGTCAAAGTGTCAGTGTTTCTTACAGGAGTCGGGTCTGTGCAGGCGTCATAAGTTAATGAAGCGGTCAACCGAATAATCTCTTTCATCCTTGTTGTTTAAGATAAGGAAGTGTCTTTTTACTATCTTCATTTTAGTTCTTTCCCGTAGATTGGCCCAACTCGACCGGGAACTGCAAAAGACTGAAGTCCTTACCGTGTTCAGTGTCTTTACAATTAAAGGTGTTTATTGAAATAAATCAAACATTTCTCAGTTTGATGAAAAAATTAAAGCGCCCCTAAAGACAAAGTAATTTTTATTTATCCATTGTAAAATGTATTATGGAACAATGTGGGATGGGGGTTGGACAGAAAATTTGACAAAACACGCATACAAGTAACGCACTCTTTAAGAACACCAATGACTGCTCTCCCCTACCTCCCCCCCCCCGGCTCGCAACCGCATACTTTTTTTAACGCCTCTGAACTATACTAATATTGTAATGATCCAACCGCAATTACACCGCAGATTTATTTTATCGACTATTTCAGAACAAATACAAACATATTACGCACCAAACGCATGTGCGATAATTTAAAAAAAAAAAAGAATCTCCTATAACGCAGTTATCGGGAATTTTATTTCGAGAAATCAGTGTTATCCTATTTCCTTGATCTTCCCCTTGAAAAAACATTTTTTTTAAATGATTTTTTTTTTGGGGGGGGTGGGGGGTTGGGACTGAACATTTGAAAGTATGTGTTGGCATCGGCAACGCGTCTATTTGCCAAGTTTTAGCTCTTGACGGAAAGTGGGTCCATTAGCCGTCCGGAGATTTTGCCAGCCAGTAACATCCGGACAGAACAAAATTAAAATAAAGAATGTGTTTAAATAATAATAATAATAAGATAATGCATAAAACTATTTCAAAACTACGTCATCACATCACCATTCGACATTACTCTTGGTGGCGAAGAGGCAAGAGAAATCTGTCGCTAAGATTGTCAAGAGTTATTCCTCTCTGCGTCACGCGTGAACAAACAGCCATTTCAACCAGTATTTCAGTAACGCGAACGCTGTAACGTCAACCACCCCCCCCCTTCCCTCGACTACAACCCCCTCACCCACAGACACACACAACACGACAGACTTAAACCCCAGCTGGTAGAATGTACCACAGCGGAAGATTTTTGCCCGGGTAATTTCCATGATCGTCTCCCCTATTACGTCTCATCGGAGCAGTGACAGTCTGAAAACTGAGCAGCGCTCTTCGGGGAAATCCAAGATGTCCCGGCAGCTGCCCCGCTAACCAAATTAACGAATTCCATGATGGATGACGCCTTCGACGTGAACTTTATCGCCCGAATTTAAAACAAACAATCTTTCTTATCTTTTGTATTTAAATATATATATATATATAATTTTTTTTTTTTTTTTTTTTTTTTTTTTATTTTTTTTTTTTTTTTTTTTTTTTTTTTTTTTTTTTTTTTTTTTTTTTTTTTTTTAATTTTTTTTTTTTTTTTTTTTTTTTTTTTTTTTTTTTTTTTTTATATCTTTTTTTTTTTTAAAATGTATTGATCATTTTTATTCCTATATCTTTCATATTATAAATGCCATATGGCATATTTTTTTCGTTGCACATTATATTATCAGTGTTAGTGGAATTTGAAAATAAGCACACACAAAATATGCAATGAAAAAAAAAAAATTATCAAACACAGATTTGGGAAACGTATTAGAAAATATATCTTCTAGAATTTTTTCACCCGCTTTTAAGCTGTCCGAGTCTCTGAGAAAGACCGAGCACAGCAATTTGAAAAGAAAGAGACAACATATGCAAATTTTGAACTTAATTAATTTGAACAATGAATGGGTTTCTAATCAGTTATAAGGAAATTTTATTTAATTGGCGTACATTTTAAAGTATCTTCAGCATATTCTATACAAAAATCGGCTTGCCGGCAGAGGTGTTGCTATGGTTATTGCCGTCCGGTGTAGGCCAAAATTTCTGTTCACCCCTCCCCCCCACCCCTTTTCCACGAAAAGTTTCGACAGTATGCCTAAAAATTTCGCCCTTTCATGTAAATAAAAAAGGCGCCCGACCCCCTCGCCTCCCCGGGAACATTATCATTAATGGTGAGCACATTGAAGAGTTTATGGTGATGCATTACGTTGGAGGACTTCACCAGCGATCAAACTGATATTTGAAAGTGACGGACGAACGACGCGCTGTACTTTGAGTAACCTCTCCGGGTACAGTGATGCACACTATGAAGCAAGTCGTCCCTTAGATGTGGAAACATGGTGCGCTCTGGTCAAGCTGAACGACGGCGGACGAACGCGTTGGCTAAGACCAATACTGATGACCTTACCTATGGAGTGTGGAGGAACATGTGACATGAACTCATTTGAACTCATTTGAACTCATTTGAACTCATTTGAACTCATTTGAACTCATTTGAACTCATTTGAACTCATTTGAACTCATTTGAACTCATTTGAACTCATTTGAACTCATTTGAACTCATTTGAAATGAAAGATGAGAGTCGGTAGCAATGTGCGTTAGTCAATTTGTAGAGCATCGTTTTAAACGTATTTATTTAAATAATATACTTTGTTGTTCTGCAGGGTGTCAATATTATTTAAGCACACGCAACCAATGCTGCAAAAGGACAGTTATTTTTTCAGATCACTAATCGACCGGTCTGTGCCTGGCTCTAAATTATCAAACTCCTTCAAAGTCATTTCAGCACGTCACACTCGTCCACCCAATTGTTATTTAGGTCAGAGCTACATGAAAAAATGACGAGGACATCAGTCCGGGCACTGAATTTATTCCATCAAAAAATAAAAAAAGGCCTTAAGGAAGACCACGTGAATCCTGTGAATCATAGGAGATGTGAATCGTGTAAGTAACGAAGAAGTCGTAAGATGGAAAGATATACAAGAGTAAAAAAAAAACCGCTAACTTAACTGTCATCTGACACTTATTGTTAATTTGAATTAAACGACGATTAAGTTGGAGGTAAGTAAAACAAGCCATTCTTTTGAGGAGTGTG